TGTTAATGTTTGTTTTGAATCTGTTCTAATTTTAAATCTCTTTTTACTCAAAGTGAATGAATCATGAGTAAGTGAGTCATTTCGTCTTTTGTAGATGGTTTGACCTCTGTGTGGTCATTTCACATCTCAAAGTTATTTAAGTTATTTTGCAGCTTTTTGCAGTCAACTGTGTCTCTTTGTAGTAACTTTCATCTCTGTGGTTGCTCTGAGTCTGTGTGTAACAGTTTTATGTCTCTTTGTAGTTGTTTGCAATCTTCGTGATTATTTTGTGACTGTTAACTTTAAAACTTAGGCATGAAATTAAATTAAGTTTGTGTGTGCATTATACAGAGGGATACAGTCTGATAAGCTCACATAAGTTTCTCACCATCACCTAATGCTGGTAATAAATCTACATATAGTACATCGACTCTAAAGGAGCTGTGATTGGCTTCACCAAGCCATGATCTTCAGCACACAGTGGGGCAGTTTGCAGCTGAGTGCGAAGCGGCTTGGGATAAGAGTCAGCACCTCCAAGCCTAAGGCCATAGAAGCCATTAGATTGCTCCCTCTGGGTTTGGGATGAGTTACTGCCCCAAGTGAAAGAGTTTAAGGTTTCTTGGAAATTGTTCACAAGAGACACGAAAATGAAGCATGAGACAGATCGATTGGCGCAGCATCAGCAGTAATATTGTTCTGGACTGTTATGGTGAAGGAGCTGAGCCGCCAATCTTTGTTCCAACTCTCATCTATGGTCAAGCTCTTGGTAGTGAAAGAATGAGATTGCAGATACAAGCGACCAAAATGAGTTTCCTTCATAGGTTGGCTCGGCTCAGCCTTAAGAGAGTGGATATTCGGAGGGAGGTTTAAGTAGAGTTGCTACTCCGTCCTATCGAAAGCAGCCAGCTGAGGTGATTCAAATATCTGATAAGGATATCTCCTGGGTGCCTTTGTAGCGGTTGTGTACTCTCTCTCTCTTCTGTGTTGTGTGAATAACCGGACCCAGACCACTCAGTCCTTGACTCCAATCAGCTGTTTATTCACAGAAGCCATGCACTGGTAAAACACACTGATGTTAGGTCTCACAGCCCCCTCACGATAAAGAACTCCAGGAATTACACAGAGACAGGATACAGCAGACTTACAACGGAATGCTGCATTGAACCTGTGCCTTGTAAAACACACTGATGTTAGGTCTCACAGCCACCGTCACAATAATAAGATTCAGGAATTACTAAAACACAGAAGAAGTCATTCAGCCAACTGTTAGCACTGACACCACAGAGATTACTTGTAACGTTACAATCAACATGGTGTACTTTTATCTGTAAACAAGCCCATATTCACACAGAAGCATTTGGCCTCTATTTTAACAAGCATAACACCTGCAAAAGCCAGAAGTTTTGCCACTAAAAACCAACTTATTTAACATTTTAAGGAGAGCTTATTACCAATCAACCTGCCATAGGGACTCCATACAGCAGACTGACAATGTAATGCAGGGCTCACGCCTCAAGTCTGCAGGAGCCCAGCAGAGGGAGCCAACGTTACACCCAGTCCCAGAGGGACATTAATAATGCATTATAAATAAGGCAAATAACTGAGTGTAATGATAAGTGATGGCAAGTGGAATAATTAACTCCGCTTAAACTTCCTTTGGAGGCACATCCATCTGGGTGGAGACTCCAGGGTAGACCCAGAAAAATTGGTAGGGTTGAATACATGTCTCATCTGGCCAGGGAACACCTTGGGATCCTCCAGAGGTAACTAGAAAATGTTGTTGGGGAGAGGAATGCCCTACTTAGCCTGCTGCCAACCAGAACCTGAATAAGAAAATGGAAGAATGAATGAGTGGAGATTTGGTTTGCTGGTGTGTGGGACATTGTAGAAAACCACTAAAGGCCGATGTATAGTCAGATCCAAGTTATTTTAACAACTTTAGCTTTAATATGAACATCATAGCTCAAGCCAGACTTGCAAACATACTCTTATTTCATGTGAAAAGTATATAGAAACAGGTCTGTAGCACAACCCTGTGTATGTGGGATGCTGCCAAAGCTACAATGCGAGGTTCTGAAAAAAACTAAAAACTACAGAAAAAGCAGTTTGGAGCTGAAATAGATGCAGCTTATGTGAGTGCTGTGGTCTAAATCAGGAATCCACATCATATCCTGACTGTGTCTGTCCATGGCTACCTTCCCCTACCTCTCTCGGGGGTTTAATTAGAGACGCTGTGCTCAGTGTGAATAATGCAGCACCTGAACGCACCTAAGCGGGCTGCCCAAGCAGAATAAACAAAAACAGGGAGGCAGAGAGAGCAGTGCCTCCAGAGGGAGAGAGATTGACAGGGGTGCTGTGGTGAACAGGTCTGAAGGAGTAACATTAGTGGATTTGAAGATTTTCNTCCTATCGAAAGCAGCCAGCTGAGGTGATTCAAATATCTGATAAGGATATCTCCTGGGTGCCTTTGTAGCGGTTGTGTACTCTCTCTCTCTTCTGTGTTGTGTGAACCCAGACCACTCACTCCTTGACTCCAACCAGCCGCTTATTCACAGAAGCCATGCACTGGTAAAACACATGGATGTTAGGTCTCACAGCCACCATCACAATGATAAAATTCAGGAATTACTAAAACACAGAAGAAGTCATTCAGCTAACTGTTAGTTAGCACTGACACCGCAGAGATTACTTGTAAAGCTACAATCAACGTGATGTACTTTTATCTGTAAACAAGCCCATATTCACACAGAAGCATTTGGCCTCTATTTTAACAAGTATAACACCTGCACAAGCCAGAAGTTTTGCCACTAAAAAACAACTTATTTAACATTTTAAGGAGAGCTCATTACCAATCAACCTGCCACGGAGACTCCATACAGCAGACTGGCAACGTAATGCAGGGCTCACACCTCAAGTCTGAAGGGGCCCAGCAGAGGGCGCCAACATTACACCCAGTCCCAGAGGGAAATTAATAATGCATTATAAATAAGGCAAATAACTAAGTGTAATGACAAGTGATGGCAAGTGGAATCACTAACTCCACTTCACCTTCCTTTGGAGGTACATCCATCTGGATGGAGACCCCAGGGTAGACCCAGAAAAATTGGTAGGGTTGAATGCATGTCTCATCTGGCCAGGGAACACCTTGGGGTCCTCCAGAGGAAACTAGAAAATGTTGTTGGGGAGAGGAATGCCCTACTTAGCCTGCTGCCACTGCAACCAGAACCTGAATAAAAAAATGGAAGAATGTATGGGTGGAGATAATCTCATTTGGTTTGCTGGTTTGTGGGACATTGTAGAAAAAACCACTAGAAGTCGATGTATAGTCAGATCCAAGTTATTTGAACAAGAAAAAGCAGTTTGGAGCTGAAATAGATGCAGCTTATGTGAGTGTTGTGGTCTAAATCAGGAATCCACATCATATCCTGACTGTGTCTGTCCATGGCTACCTTCCCCTACCTCTCTCGGGGGTTTAATTAGAGACGCTGTGCTCAGTGTGAATAATGCAGCACCTGAACGCACCTAAGCGGGCTGCCCAAGCAGAATAAACAAAAACAGGGAGGCAGAGAGAGCAGTGCCTCCAGAGGGAGAGAGATTGACAGGGGTGCTGTGGTGAACAGGTCTGAAGGAGTAACATTAGTGGATTTGAAGATTTTCGTGTCACTTTAATCATTCCGTAATAGAAACAACCACGATTCAGACTAAATAAACCTCTAAGACTATGTCATTTACCAGAACTGTTTACTATTATATATATATTATATATATTCCTTTGTACAGCACGCTTTTACTGTGTGTGAACATTGTCTTATAGGTTATTTATCAGTATAAGCAGTATTCGTACAATTATAAACCTGTGCTGAATGGTTTTGGTTTAGGTGTGTCTTGTTTTTTCAGGTTTCTAGTTTATTATGTTTGTACACCATTTTCCATTTTGTTTATGCAAATCCATGTTTTCATACAGTGATAGAAGTAGATGATTTATTAATGCTACTCACTAGTACTTCTAATATTACCAGCAGTATACAACATAAATGAATGCCATATCACTTAAATGTCAAACGATTCATCACTAAACAGTTTAAATTTACTACATTAAAAATGCAGGTTCCAAAGTAAGAACTCATACTACACACGCTGAAATATTCCTCTTCTGTTAAGCTTCTGCAGACTGGGAGTCATGTTGTCAGCAAGTATTTTTATATATGCACTGGCCTTCTCGGTGCCATCTATAATTGTCATCTTTCCAACATCTTGTCCACACCATGCATCCTCCATAAAGGATGACATAATACAACGTCCTCACTGTCTGAGTTGTCACAGAAACTCTGATTTCCACTCATAACCTCTGTGCCAAGTCTTGAGCACTAGCCATCTGTTTTTCAGTGCAAGACTGTACAAGTAACACACTGCCTGTGATGTCATTTTAGGAGGATTGTCACTGCAGCTGTGATTAGTAGATCGACGGCTCATTGTGATTACTGCTACAACTGCGGGGGTTTTCGGTTCCTTCCCACTGTTGCGGACTGCTTGCGGACTGCTGAAGCTTATAGGGAATCCAGATGTTTTGGATTGTTGGGTGTTTCTGTTTTTGCCTTTGTGAAGCGCTATGAGATGACTTGTTGTTGTAAATATGCGCTATACAAATAAAATTGAATTGAATTGAATTGAACTATGTCTCCATTGAATTTAAGTCGGTTTCTGATCATCCTGTGTCGTATCATTTTCCATCTTTTTAAAGTCTCACAAATCAATTATCCTATTCCTCTGAACTTTTGGACCATATCGTCAGATGAGATATCTTCAGTTGTGTTCAATTTTGTTTCGGTGATCACAGATATATTTAGTTTTGTTGAGTCTCTTCTTTGAGTTCTACAGTTTTTATGTGGTCTTTCTGAAGTTTGTAAAGTTAAAAGTAAAATTTGACTTTAAGTGATATTGCACGGGCATATTTTCACTTCTGTTGTATACATAGCTCAAGTTTTTGTAATATTTGTTAACTTGTAAAATAACTATTAGCAGCATTGGTAGTAGTGTCCCGTAGTACCACTGCAATTGTATAGCTTTCATAAATATTCTTGTTGTATTAAACCATACTATGATGGGTGGCATTTTGGTGAATACCTAAGAATAAAGACTAGGCTGTTTGTGCCACCCACTGGTCTTATTCCACAACACCTAGATAAAGCACCCAGACACAGATCCATTTAATTCCTTTATCAGGACTGGATTACCAATGGTGCAGTACAGACAAACACCCCTGGGCCCCAGACCACCATGTAAGCTCACACTGACTGTTTTTAAATATGCTGTAAACGTACATATCATTTTATTGAAGCATTTGCACCATCATAACAATCCACCACGATCAATAAAGTTTATCTTATTTGTGGTCCTGCATTTGACCATTCAGGTCTTGTGGCCCTTATACAGTTACAAGTAATATAGTGTAATGAACTGGTAATGAATGGAGATCTAAACTAAACGTTCATGTTCAGATAACTCACCTGACTGTAGAGGAAGTTTATTTTTCAGGCTCAAATAAACAAATAAATAAGCCTTTCTACAACGCATCTGCCTATCTTCTCTAATTTATGGTTTTATGGTTGGTTTTGATTTGAAGAACGGAAATAAATAAGAAATCATAAGTTTCAAACAGGATATATCTTCTCAGAATACTTTGTGGAAATAATGAGTTAAATATTTGCTTGACGGCTACATGCTGTATATACAATTCTGTTTTCATTCTTTTTTAACACAACTTAGTGCCATTGAATCACATTATTTAAGCATCTGCCTTCAGATGTCAGCTTTGATCGTGTTTCAAAGCAATTAAACGCACCATGTCAAACCTGTGATTACCAGAAATCCGTGAATGCACCCTGCGAGCATTTTCCAGCCTTTGATTGGTCGTCGGCCGATGTCATTATCACGTGACATCCAACATGGCCGTCAGCGACCGAAGCAGAGATGGTATGTTGACGTTTTAAACGTGTCAGTGGCTGTAATTAAGTTCTGCATTTGGAATGGACATGTTAGCGTTTTGCTAACACACAAAGTTAGCGGGACTGAAAACGCAAAACAAAAAGGCTCAAGTCTTTGCGAAGTAATGAAACTCATACCCAGCTATGCTATCAAGCTAATGTTTGCTACCTGTCTGCCTCCTCCTTGTAGCAGCTTGGTAACTATTTGCTTTAAACCACAGAAGCTTTCAACTCGTGCCACCTGCTTTGTGCTGTTCCTCTACTATCTTAGGGGGAAATAGTGTGCTTATCGCTGAAATGCATTCATGTATGACTTTTAACAGAATTACCTGGTGCACACTGGTTTCAAATAATGTGTATGTGGTAGATAATCTGGAGTTCTCTCCTCTCTTAGGTCAGGACACCATACTGGAGCCACTGTGCTTTCCAGAGCAGACAGTCAACAGCTCCAGCACCCCCAGTCAGCAGTGTCCTCGTAGTGACCTGCTGGTGTGTCTGTTCTGTTCTGAATCCACCCCTTTGCTGCAGAAAGATGTTCTTCTCAAACACCTGCTGATGGAGCACAAGCTGGTCATTGCCGATGTCAAACTCATTGCAGATCTCCCAAAGTATGAACCCTACATTGTGCCTACAGCTCCAACTCACTCATTTTAGCAGACTGTGAAATGTTTGTGAAATGTGAAGGAGGTTGTTGAGAAAAATGTTTTGCTTTTGGTATGTTGCGTTTCCTGTCCTCCATCAGGTACATGTTGTACTGGAAGGGCAGATTCCTGGAGCAACCGGTCACAGATTTCTGCAGCGTGATCAAAACCAACTCCACTGGTCCAGTTGGTGAGTGAAGTTACAGTTGAGTTATTGGGACAAGGATGACACTGTAAAGGTAACCTGACATTTCAGACTGAATGAAATGGAAGTACAACCATTTACAGTGAGTCGAGATGAGTCACTATATATATTGAACTGGGGCAAGTGATGTAAACTGGGTATAAATTACATCTGGACTTTGTCCCTCTTTGAAAGGCTCTCAACAATGTATATATTGTAATGGCAGTGGCATACCGCATATAAAGCTCATGTTCTTATAACAAGTTATTGACCTGACAGAGAAACAAGAGGACTACTTTTTGCTATGTGACGTCCTTCCAGAAGATCGAATCCTCAGAGAGAGACTCCAGCAGAAACGACTGGTGAGGGTTTACACACCAAATTCAACATCACCAAACTCCCCTTCAGACCAACAGATGAGGTTTTCAATTCTGTGACATGGGTTAAGAACTCAAACACAGTTTCTGTGGTTATTGACAGATATCTCTGTACTCTTGAGTTTTTAATTTCTATGATTTATTTTTTTTTATTGACTTCAAACACCTGTTCAGTAGAAGCTAAGCATTTGGACGCTTGTATGTCATACCTACTACCTCATCTACAATATTACAGGGTTTGTACTACTTGTGATGTTTTTCTGACCGTTTTGATCATCTACAGGAAGAAGTGCTGGAGCAGCAACAGAAAGAGAGAGATGACAGCAACTTCCATCGTCTCTGCATGTTCTGCAGTGAAGAGTTCACTGGGAACAGGTAGTGCACATACAGGGTTCCCATGCATTCTGGAAACCAGACTACCAGTCAGTAAACTTTTAAGTCAGATCCAGATTTGACACCTGTAAATTTAAAGGTTTTAGGAGTCATTAGCAGTTGTTGTCACAATGGTTCAAAAGAATCTGCAAAAGTTTCTTTAAAAACACTGCAACAAACAGCACGACTACTTTGAATTTTCTTTCTCTGTATTGCGCATGGTTTTTCAGGTACTTGGTTGGTAGGTTCTGCTTGGATACATTTATACAGTGCCTCCCTGGATTCTCCTCCTCTTCTGTTTTCCAGGCTGACTCGTGGGGTTAAGATCAGGGCTCTGTGTCGGCCTCTCATCTGTTGCAAGACACTTTGCTCTTTTTGTAGCTTGTAAGAGTTCCTTATCACTTTGGCTATGTGTCTGGACTTGCTGTCAAGCAAATGAAATTGGAACCAATCAGATGCCTCCATAATAGCATTTTGAGTCAGAATCAAATAGTTTAAAGTGTCTATAGATTTTGGGCAGTACAGCTAAAGGTGGCTAACACAGAGATGAGCCTGTAAGTCTAGGACTGGGAACCTTGGATGGGATGTGAATTTGATGTATTTCCATCAGTTGGCTTGACTTGAATAAATGAAACAAATGTACTCTAGCAAGAAAGCTATGAAATCTATCACAACTGAACAGCAATAGTAGGGTAGTACTCTGGTTTCAGTTAAATATGGCGAGTGATGGAAATGAGTGTTGTGGCAACGATCATCCTCATACTGTCCTAACCTGACAAACTTGCTTACAAGTTGTAAATAGCCCAAAGGATATCTCTTCTTGCCATTGCTGAAGCCATAACAGAAACATAAAAACATCACTGGCCCTCTGTCTTAAGCCCATGAGTTCTTACTGATTATCTATATAGAATTTTTAAAAATATATTGTTCACTTAATGAAAGAACATTTCCCCATGGTCTTTTTCAGGTCGTCCCTGCTGAACCACATGGCCAGAGAACATTCCTTCAGCATTGGACTGCCAGACAACATTGTCTACTGCAACGAGTTCCTGGACACACTGCAGCGTAAATTGGACAAGTAAGAACTAGCCCAGTGACAACAAGTTTTTGTCTGTGTAATACTCCTTAAAGGAAAATACACATTCAGTTTAGATTATTTCATATTTCAGTTTTAACATTCCTTAATGATTGTTGGAAACTTTATATGTATTATGGATGGAATTATCCACATTTAAAGAGAGCTTCAGGTTATAATTGACACTTTTTTTTTTTTTTTTTGTTACTCTTGGACAAAGTACATAAATATGAAAACAGGTCAAACCACTCAGCACATTAAAATTGGGCCACTAAAATGGATAAAATACACTAAATAATGAAGTAGAAAAGAACAAAATAACTGGAAGCCAAAGTAAAAACAAACAATGACATCAGTGACAGCATTAATCTGCTGATTACTTTTTTCCCACAGGCTAAGCTACATTTGCCTGACTTAAGAATCCACCCATCCATTATCTATACACCGCTTAATCCTCACTAGGGTCGTGGGGGGGCTGGAGCCTATCCCAGCTGACTAAGGGTGAAGGCAGGGGACACCCTGGACAGGTCACCAGTCTATCACAGGGTTGCACAGAGAGACAGACAACCAAGCACGCTCATGTACACCTACGGACAATTTAGAATCACCAATTAACCTCAGCATGTATTTGGACTGTGGGAGGAAGCCGGAGAACCCGGAGAGAACCCACGCTGCACGGGGAGAACATGCAAACTCCACACAGAAAGATCCCAGACTGAGATGCAAAGCAACAGTGCTACCCATCAAACTACTGTGCCACCCTTGACCAAGAGTCCAAAACTCCAATATATTCAGTTTACAGTCATCTATTGCAAAATAAGAGTATCAAATCCTAACAATAGAGAGGATTTGATTATCAAACTAGACTGACTGATTATTTTCATGACAGTTTTCCTATCCACCAGGACGCAAAAGTGTTAACAGTCCTACTATACTGCAAATGCTCACCGAAGTTTGATGAGTTTTGTGTTGGATGTATGTAACTCACTGCATACAGTTTTAATTTGCTTTTTGTGTTAATAGTTCTTTTTTTCCTTTCATCAGTCTGCAGTGTTTGTACTGTGAGAAAACATTTCGAGATAAAACCACGCTAAAGGATCACATGAGGAAAAAAACTCACCGTCGCATCAGCGCCAACAACCGAGAATATGACCGCTTCTATGTCATCAACTATCTGGTATACAGCTCCACTGCACTGTTTTCTGAGTTAACTGCACGTCAGGTTGCGTGTTATTCTTTTGAGTATGAAAACATTCTTCCCCTTTGCAAGCTTTGAAAAGTTTGTATTTTTAAAATAGAAAAGGTCACACAAGTACAGAAGTCTGTGTGTGTCAGTTACAAACGCTCTTTAGTCTCATGCATCATTTACATGGATTATACAGTAAATAATTACAAAAAGAAATTGAAGTGCCGTTTCTAGAGTAAAGACTTCCTTCTTGCAAGGCAGCCTCTTAGTCTAAGGCGATGTAAAACACCCTGTGTTCCAGCAGCTTCTAATTCATTGCAGACCTGCCTTCTGGTGATTCTTGGTTGACTCTTGACCATCCTGACCAGTTGTCTGTAGGCAGCAGGTGACAGTTTGTTTTTTTCAGTGATACAACTGTACCATGCACTTTAGACTTATAAACAGTTGTGTGTCCAGTTGATTTTGGGATCTGTAGTTGCTTTAAAATGGCTACAAGTAACTTTCCTGACTTGTTCAAATCAATGATTTGCTTTTTCGGATCTTTGCTGAGCTCCTCAGACTTTACTACTGTAGTGTTTGGCGCATTAAAGTCTGAAGAGTGTATCAAAGTCAATAGGCTCAAAGAAGTCAGCAGCTGTAGTCCACTGTAACTACTTACAAGAAGGTAAGAGGCCATACCACTAAAAACATTTGATTAACAAAGCTTTCTGCGTCACCAAACCTGATAATTCAAGTTGTATCTATATTTTTGACCTAGCAAAATTTTGTCATATTTCCAGAAGACCTATAATAAATCAATAAAAGAAACAAAATGTGTTTATTGTGAGAAAGACACGCATGTTTCCATCATAATTAAATAGAAACTGTAGGATTTATTGGAAACTCAAGACTGCCATGATTTACATGATCTTTACAAGCGTAGTAAACTTTTGTTCACAATTGTATGTAAAGTAAATAAGTGTGTGACGGAAAACACAGATGCAGGTTAAGGAACTATGATGTACCCTTACTGAAAGGTAGCTGAAATCATTTGATCTGCACAAGTAGGATAACAGCTAATAGTTTGTTTCTTTAACAATTTTATCCGTGAATAAATCAGTTAACTGGTCAGTTGTTTGTTCTGTAAAATGATTTACTGGTCATCTGTTAAAGATATTTTTACAATGGAAAGAAAATATTAATCATTTTCTTGTGACAAATAACAATTAATACGAAAATAGTCAGTTAAAAACATTAATGTCAGTACCTGACTTATTGAGTGAAGTATTAGAGTAGTTTTCACTTCACTGTGCGTGAAATTAAAACGTCTCCTTTCTCCTGTTAGGAACTGGGGAAAAACTGGGAGGAGGTACAGAGTGAAGATGACCGTGAGCTGGTAGATGATGAGAATGAGTAAGTATGCTTAGCAGGAACCATCAGGGTGAGATCACCTTAGTCTGGAGCCAAAACATCCAGGTTTTACTGACTGCTCATGTACATTTGACTGCATCAGTTTCATTTATCTCTCTGAGGAAAATTAGTGTAGAGTTTAAAATGACCAAACTTCTTGTTCTGGACACATCCAGGCTACTTTTAATACTCATACAAAGACCTTACTTTGGCCATATGTGATATGTGGAATGCTTAAATCTGCCTGGTTCCCTTTGACCTCCCAGCTGCCTGACATCTCTTGTGTTGTCTGCAGTGATTGGTCGGACTGGCAGGCTCATCCAGTGTCTGCTGTGTGTCTGTTCTGTGATCACCAGTCAGAGACGATGGACCAGATCTACACCCACATGAAGGTCCAGTTACAAACAGTTGTTATAGAGGAATGTAAATGCAGTTTTTATGCCTGAAGTGATTCCTTTTATGACTGAGTACTGCTGACAAAGATTTAGAGCTATATGGGGAGGTTAGAAGGGCAAACCTTTCTCAAAACTAGCACAGCCCACCACAACACACTTCTCTGCTTCGCACCTGATATATTTACTTTGCCTTCAGAATCAGAATCCTTTGTCATTATACCAAAAAAAAAAAGTACAACGAAATTGGGTGCTGTCCCATTGTCGAGTTCTTTGGGTCATGAACTTCATTGTCTGCCTAAACTCGGCTCGGCATTGACGACCACAGAGGACGCTGGTCAACTTCACTCATTTTCCATCTTTTATTTCATTTTTTCAGAAAGGAATCGGGCTGAGTGGTCAATAGTTGATAACCTTAAAATAAAAAAAACACAAACCCATATTAATTAATTAATTAATCTATCAACAATCATTTAACATCCAACATACCATAACTCAAATTAGCAATTACAATTTTATCCTTTGAATATAGTTGAAACTGTCTCAACCTACCAGTGGCGTCTCTGCGGTCATCAGCACAATGAAGAACAAAAGGAAACACACCTGCCCAGGACCCACTAATGAAGCCTTCTTCTCTTCTTCAGCCCTGAGCTGACACCTACTCACTCAAAAATGGCAGCACTGCCCTCTTGCTGCTAGTAAAAAAAAATTGAACTATAGGTGAAAAATTAAATAAACAAATAAATACATATGCACACAGCATAACCTAATTCATAACTTAACACCCATTCAGTGCAAAGAACAACTATAAATAACAAACAAACTGTGCAAGATAAAAACAATACGTTTGTAGAGCCTAGAGATGTACCAAAAAAAATAAATAAGTGACAATTGGTATAAAACGGATACAAAAATGTGAGTATTTACAATAGAATCGAGGATTCCTTTACAAAGATCATCATGAAAGCAGGAAAATGGCTAGATACACACCAGACATACTGCACAACGCTCATCTCTTCTCTCTGTTTTGAGCCTCCTCATCTCCTCTGTCCTCCACCTTCCTGCCTGTGAACTGGCAATCCAACTTACATGCCACCTTGAAAGAGGTTTCAATTTCTAAAATGCATCTGGAGGTGAGAGGAGGTGGCACAGGTTTATTCTTGATGTATCCTTTGCTTTAGTCTTTTCCACACCCGTGACTTTGTTTGAATAGTACTCTTTTGCATCCCACACCTCTTTTCTACTTCAAAACATCTGTTAAGTTTAACTTTTTATTTATTCTTTTTTTGCATTCATACATTCTTCTTACATTCTGCCACATTGTGAATTATATGTAAATAATATATACTGTGATTTATCTTAAACACTGTTCTGCTAATCTGAATAAGATTATAAAATACAGCAGCAGGATGTAGCAAAAACAATGATGCAGCCGTGCCAGACACCAAATTAATCACAGCAGCATCCGAAGCAACAAAGTCTCATCTGTTACTTCCTGTTGCCTGTTGTCCTCCCTACTAATGTCCCCTCCTCGCCTCCTCTGCTCACATCTCTGGTGAGAGGGATTAAGACATGAGGGGAGGAGTTGAGTAAAGGAATACAAGATGTACAAACTGAAAAATGAGAGGAGGGACTGTTTCTCACAGGAAGACACAGGGACTCATAAATTAACCATCAATACACAGAGAAAGACTGGGGACACACTCAGATTACACAGCACTGCAAAAACACTGCATCATAACAAGCACAAACAGAATGACATGAACCGAATATTTTACCATTTACTAACATATGTTATGTTAGAGATGTTACATCAGTGTGTAGCAAAAACATAGGCCAAAATACAAATACAAAAAAATGAGGTCAGCGCATAAACCAAAGGAAAATGACACAAAAATGTAGTAGTAGAGATAACATGATATAATAATGAAATGGTTTATAAGGTCTGCAGGACATATGCTGATGGTTACATGTCAACATGCCTGTCGTTTAATGTTGTTGTCAAAGTATTTTTGGAAGGAATTCAGTCCTTATCTTTGAAGGTAAATGGAAATATTGCATCAGTCTGTGTTAGGAACTGCTGGTATATAATAAAAATACTTCCATCCATTATCTATACACCACTTAATCCTCACTAGGGTTGTGGGGGGCTGGAGTCTATCCCAGATGACTCAGGGTGAAGGCAGGGGACACCTGGACAGGTCACCAGTCTATCACAGGGCTACACTTGGAGACAGACAACCAAGCACACTCACATTCACACCTAAGGACAATTTAGAATCACCAATTAACCAGACACCAATTAATCTCCACGCAGAAAGATCCCTGGTGTCCTAACTGGGACGCGAACCAGTGTCCTTCTAACTACGAGCCTCTTTGCAACCCATAAAAAAACTTATATAGAATGATAATAAATTGATTTTTTTGTCCATGTATTTCTGTTTTGTTGCTTGTTTAATCATTTTTGGAGGGTAAAAGCCTTTGATTCTGGTGCCACCTTTAGGAGAAACTTAATTTTTTCCCCACCAGTGGTAATAATGTAATGTAAATGTAATAGCAAAGTTGTCGCTCTATTATGGTCTATTGGAACCCTAATTATGATTCTGTTGTTTTGGAAATATTTTGTAGGAGGCCCATCGCTTTGATCTTCATAACCTGAAGACAGAACTCAGTAAGTAAAACCTCATTGGAAACCATTCAAGTACGAAACTGTTTGGTCTTTAAAATGATCATCTTCACCAAGCAGCAAATTACTGAACTAATGTTGACATAAAAGATAAATAAAAGTGACACAGGTAACAACATACAAGTCAAATATTTGGTCTGAAGACAGAAAACTGACAACAGTGGCAGTGATAGAACACTTTTCTCTTCTTTTCCATATATCCAAGGGTTTAGCTACTCCAGCACCAGTACACTTGTCTGGTGAACAAACTGATGGTGCAGTATTCATAATGTCTTATGTGAGTGCAGCCTCATGTCAACATTCTGTTCCTCCCTCAGACCTCAAGTTCTACCAGCAGGTGAAACTGGTGAACTTCATTCGGCGGCAGATCCACCAAAGCCGCTGCTACAGCTGCCAGGAGAACTTCGACTCCAGAGCTGACGTCCTTCATCACATCATGACTGAAGGTCATGTGATGAAACTGCCAGAGATGCCTGTCTGGGACCAGCCTCAGTAAGTCCAACAGACAACTTATTATTGAATTTCAGTTTTTGTGGGACCCAAACAAAACCCCCTTTAAGGGGGAGGAAAAAGAGGGAAAAGATAAAGAGAGAACAATAAGCAGTTCTTTTCCTACAAATCGCCTTTTTATATGCGAGAAATTTATCTTTCGAGGCGAGATTAAATTCTTTGGAATTTGGGGACCACCACTGCCTTTTCAGTCTTCTTGAATTCTGCCTTAAGATGTGCAGCTGTTGACTAAACCATGGAGCCATTTTATTATAATTTATTGCCTTCTTTTTCAGAGGGGCAACAGTGTCAAATGATGTACGCATTAAAGCTGCAGTTCTGTCAATAAGATTATCCACCTGAGTGGGACCAACATTAGAGGTAGCCTTGGCCTATTGAGACCTTGATGTCACAGACATCTGAAGGTGGTCTGTGGTATCAGGGATCAAGACATTAGCAGCATGTCCTTTAAGTCCTGAAACTTGTGAAGTGGGGATCAGGCTTTGTTTGCCCAGTACGTCTATCGCATTGAGATCAACACATTGAACTCTTGGTCAGGCTCCCTAAATCTTTCCTTAGCAATGTGGCAAGAAGCGTCACGCTACTTAAAGAGAGCACTGCTATCAGGGAATATATGTACTATTAAAGCGAGTAATAAGGTTTTCAGCAGTTCTGGTACAGTGGTTCTTTAAACAACACAGGCCAGCTTTCACTCACTATGCATCAGTGAACCTTGGGCGCCCTTGAACCGGTTGGTTGTTTATCAGTTATCTGGACCACTCTTAGTAGCTGCTAACCTCTGCATACTGGGAAGAAACTGCAAAACCTGCCATTTTGGAGAGGTTGTCTACCAACACAGTTTGATCCTTGTCAGAGTCACTCAGATCCTTGATGCTGCTCATTTTTCCTGTTTTCAACATCAACTTAAAAACAGATTGTTTACTTGCTACTTAATAATATATATCCCACCCACTGACAGGTGTGATTGTAACAAGATAATCAGTGCTATTCACTTAACCTGTCGGTGGTTTTAATGTTTTAGCTGATCAGCGTATGTCTAAAATCACACTCAATATCTCAGTCATCATTAAATATATAGACATGATGCACACACATTCAGCATGTGACCTGCACTGCCGGAGATGTATGACCATCATGGGTAAATGTTCAAACATCCAGCTATCATCTATACACCGCTAGCCTGTCCCAGCTGACTCAGAGTGGATGCAGGGGAGAGACAGTAAACCAAATGTTCACACCTACAGACAATTTAGAATCACCAACAAATCTCAGCATGTGTCTGGACTGTGTGAAGGAAGCCAGAGAACCCGGAGAGAACCCACGCTGCACGGGGGAGAACATGCAAACTGCACGCAGAAAGATCCCAGGCGTCTTAACCTGGATGCGAACTGGGAATCTTCTAACTGTGAGGCAACGGTGCTAACCACTGATCCACCTTGCAGCCCATGTCCAAACATCTGCTTAGAAAATAACATGCTTCTTATGACTTTATATTTTATGGCCCTGTAATCATAACACTTGGAAGTTTTACTCAGTATCAAAGTAAGTTATCCATGAGCAAGTTAGTCAGTGGGTAATTCTTTCAATGATTCAAGTTTGGGGCGGCAAGGTGGCGCAGATCTCAAAACAAACACTTTAAATCTAAGAAACACATCATGACACAGGTGTAAAAGGTACAATGAACAGTTTTCAATCTGTGAGCCAAAATTCCTTTGTATTTTCTGTCTGCACAACAATTCTAGCTTCCTAAATACCAAACAAATACATGCTGACAGTGTGCAGCCCAGTTACCAACATAATGGCAACATTTTACTTCCTTTTGCATCCCTCAAAGCATTATGGTAGTTGTAGTTCCAAACTTTTAGATATTATTGCCCCACTACATAGTAGAACACAGGTTAAAAAAAAACAAAAAACTATCAACTGTGACATTACCTTTTTAGAAATACAAAAACTGTAGAACTCTCACGTGCAAACTGATGATACTTCTGGGTTGCTGAGCTTGTTCTGGTGAACTTTGATAACAGCTACATTGACTACTTCAACTATAAATGAATAGAGTAAAATCCAAGCCTAAATAAACCTATAATCTCAATCTCTCCACAGGTATTACTTCCCCACATATGAAAACGACGCTCTCCTGTGCACACTGTCTGACAACGATGAAGATGAAAGTGACGAGACAAATCACAGTGAGGACATCCCGGTCATTGCAGAGGACATCTCCAACCTCAGAGTACTGAAACAGACCAGTGTGCTCAACCAGCTGCTGAAGAACAGTGGACGCTAGGATGATGGACTGATTTTATTATCTTCCTTTCGTCAGACTGAATGTTTACTTGGACACAAGGAGAAAATATTCTTCAGAAGAGAATATAATACTTGACTGTACTCTGTGGACAAGAAAAATTTCACACAGCCATAATACACACTTTTAAAGTCATCAGAAGCCAGATATACGTTTGGCTGCAGTTTAGATACTAAACTTATACATGCAACTTACTTCCATTCAAGCACATAAAAGGAGCTTAAACATCTGTTTTTCTTCAATACTGACTTTATTATTTCAATTAAAACTCATTTACTTTTGTAAATTCTGTAACCAAGTGAAAGAGTTGCAACACTTCAAACCAAAGATAACTGAAAACAGAAAGCATCTTCCAACTATCAAAGTTCAAATAAATGTGTCTGAACCCTGATCGAGCTTCCATTCTACTTGACAGTCTTATTGTTTTTAGCAGGTACGATGTTCTGTGTTGCTTTGCCAAGTGAAACCTGCCGAATGGTGGAACCAAACTGCAGCGTGCTTAGAGTTTCCACCACGTCGTTGATGTCAGGACTCACATTCACAAACACACAACACTGCAGAGAGACAGGAGGACACAACACAGGCATGAACAAAGCGCAGGTGATTACGTTAGCTGCAAAACTAAGTGTTTTATCAAACACTGCACACATGATATTGCATGTGATGAGTATTTATGGAAAAAAATATAAGATACAGATTTAGTCACCCGAAGGTGAGAGTAGATTCATTCAATCAGATGTGCATTCATATGTTCAAACTAAACATTACAGAACTTTTATTCATCAAAACTGGTAGTATTTAAAATGTGGACACTGTAACTTTAAAAACAAATGCAACATGTTCAACAACATGTTTACAATATACTGTACAGACTAAATACCTACTGAGGTATCTCAAATATATCTCACAGAAGAGAAGGAGTATAGTAGGGAGGAAAGAGATGTAATGTTAATTTAATTTTAAATTAAATAAAAATGTAAACTGTTACAGTAATTTCTGCTAATTTAAAAGGAGCTGTATAGCTGACACATTTTAACTTAATTACAGTATACAACAGAAGTGGGTATGCTCCTGTTAATTAATTCATTTATCACTCTGAGTAATTGCATTACTTCTCAGTTGAATGGTAGGGTGTTTACTTTTATGTAAAGTAGAAACCAATAGTTCAGATTTACTATATTTAAAAATACAGAGCCAATCTTCGACATGGAGATTAACAAATTTCTGCAAAGATGCTCTGCATTTCTTTGCAGAATATTTTTTTTGAGCTGCTCATGTTGGAGGGGATTGTGTTACTCTACCTTTGCTCTTTTGGATTTAAATCAGGTGACATACTTCATTAGGTCACAGTTTTTCCTTTTGTTCTTCCTAAGAAACTCTTGTGTGATTTTGGCAGTGTGGTGGTTGTGGTTCAGAGGGTTAAAGATTCAATCAGTGCAACATAAATGTAGTAAGTCTCCACTATTCGCCTTGTTAAATGTGCCAAACTGTGAAGTAGCATACCACGAGTAAAAGTTGTACATGCCACCTGTAATCCTTCTTAATCTAACCCATTTACACATTTCCTTCAGATAAAAAACACACTGGAAATCCCAAACCTCAAGCAAGGTGCACTTTTATTGCTTCTGAACTGGATTTCTCTATTTTCCATGAGGAAGAAAATACTTCTTCTTTCAAAAGTAACACAGTCTCACTTAAGAAAGTTTGTCTGTGGCAAAACTAAATGAGCAAATGTCAGTTCACCTTGGCATCTCCGCTGAGGCAGGGCTGCAGGAGGTGGGTGAGTTTGGAGTTCCTGAATGGGATGTGGAGGGCATTACATTTCAGAGCTCCGAACACCTGAAGGAGAAACAACAGTAACCTTTGACCTCATGGAACACCCATTTATTACAGCAGAAAATCTTCACAAATCCTTGTGCTTCCCTTCTATGATGTTTTGATCCACATCCTGTGATGAATGGTGAAACATTTACATGCAGTCACTTTATTGTATTGTCCCCCAAAAATGCTTGAAAACTGCAAATAAAAACAAAAAGTGGATCTTGTTCTGTCTGAAGAACTGTAATTTTGTTTTTTGTTTTTTGTTTTTTAACACACTAAAAAATGGACCACAGAGTAGCGTCTTGAAAATAAGGTAATTTTAAGAATCTAAAAAAAACTAGAAAAGCACTCGGAGAGCACAGACCTCCGCCAAGCAGCTCATTTCCACCATATTGTGATTTCCACCTGTTGCATCATGGCTGAAATAACTTTCCACAACATCTCAAAGTTGGGTTGATTTTTTACTTAAGCTTCGTGCTCATCTAACAAGCACCTGAGCTACAGCTCATTCTGTGGTGCTCTCTCTTTAACACTGGCATTCAGTAGGTAACATAAAGGCGAGTTCGCCGTCTACTGGGTAAACCGTATAATACTTCTATAATAGAGCAATAGTGCATTCAACATGCACATTCTCTTGTTGCTTGGAATAAGCATTCAAATAATATTTATAAAGAATAATACCATTAAATCTCAGTAGCTATACCACACCACCCAATGTTAAAGTCCTGCATTCATTTTACCTACAGTATTAGATTCATAGATAGTCAAAAACATACCTTTAGCATTTGAATTAACATTGATATCATTGATAACAAGCTGACGAAGTGATGAACAGTCATTCTGTGCTGTCAAATATTTTGTACACTTACGCTATTTCTGCAATTACTGGCTTTTAAGCTGTTAGCTAACGCTATGCTAGGTTGGCATAACAACAGCGATGTTATTGCCAACATAAACAGACAGGGAGTAACTTAAGCTAGGTTAGCGCGACTGTGACACTTAACAGCATTTACTGTTTTATGAGAAAATAACCAGACAGTAAGCCAGAACATCACCAAAATTTCATCATCTGTTCATTGTGCCATGATCAACGTTTCCTGAAAATTTCCTGAAAATCTGTTGATATCTTTTCGAGTTATGTTGCTAACAAACAAACAAACAGATAAACGGCGGCTAAAACAACTTGCTTGGCAGAGGTAAAAAAAAAAAGTAAAACTTAGTCTTCTAAACAATTGTAGAGGCTGATGCTGGGAAAGATATCCCTGTTATTGAGCAACTCTTGATGGGTGAAGAACAGCATCATCTCCAACCTCGTCTTATAGCAACTCATTCAGTGTTCCTAAATGATCTCCTTCCATCCCTCCATCCCCCTTGGTTTAAAAATCCTACCACAATCTTTTTGCGCTTTTGATTTCCCAAACTTCAACTGGTTAAACCTTTGATGAATAAATGGTGAATGAGGATGTCTACACTATGATAAGAAGAGAAAAGATGATGTGTGATGCATTTATTTCGCATTGTTCCATGTATCCTTCTTATGCAACTAAAATGCAGTAGGCCTCCTGCAAGAACATTAAAGTTGATCAAGTAATAAAAAGCTAGTTTACTAGTTACAGACTTAACAATTGAGTGAATTCATTGCTATCTCAACCATATCACCGAGGATAAAGTACTGCCCAATTTCACACAGTATGTGAGCTGTCCCACCAGGGAGGAGAGGACCCTGGACTTGGTATATGCTGCCTATAGCTCCTCTCCCTTCCCCCCTGCATTGTAGGCCGGATCACAGCTTTCACTGTGAGAGTCACTGTCACACCTCCTCCCCCAGTTTCCACCCCCACCTGTACAGTAAACATCAGAGCTGACTCTTAGGTTTTTAAAGTGAAACATCTGCAGTAAAGTGTTGTGTAAAATTTACTGAACTGAGTTGTCATACTTGACAAATACGAGATGGTGACGTTAAAAGAAACCTGCATTTTACATGAGTCCAAAACAGTACAGTGTCGTTAAAGCTGATGAGAATTTTAGAATTTTTTTTCAATAGAGTGATGGAGATAGACAACTGATTGTCACCATGTCACCTCAAAGTTCTCCTGAATTGTTTTCATGTTGAAGTTTCTTGAAGAAGTAGTGGTGGAGAGTAAGGTGGCTCAGAGTTATAAGATGGCCTCAAACTACCTTAGAAATTGGAGGAAGATTAATTCTATTTTTAATACACTAGCTCAGACTGACAGTGAAGAAGACGTTTTCAGATGATATGAACATTGATAAAGAAATCGATGCAGTGAATGATGGCAGAGAGCAAGAGGCATACAGTCTAAGTCAGGGGTGGGCAATCCTGGTCCTCGAGGGCCACAATCCTGCATGTTTTAGATGTGTACCTCTTCCATCACACTTGATTCAAATGATCAGCTCATCATCAAGCTCTGCAGAAGCCTGATAACGATCCTGATCCACCACCAGCCTTGAAGGAAGAAGGAGGACTGTAAAGAAGAGGACTTATGAGGATTTTACTTGTGGTAAGTGCACAAATTGATTAATTTAACAATTTAAGGAAATATTGTTTTAATTGCAAAAAGTAGGCTAATTTGTGTAACAAATTCCAGGTGATTCTTTATCAGGATGTGGCCATGGCCATACACAACCCCGTAAGCAGTAGTTGCTTTCTGTGCATGCATACGCAGAAAGACAAATAAGAAAAGAAAAATGAAATATCTGTAAAAACACAAAACAGATACATCGATTTCTGGATTTGTTTCTTGTTTTTTGTTTACCAGATCACCTATTTGAAGAAATCAGCAAAGTTCTAATGCTGTTTTTTTTAGATTGCACTAAATAACTCAGTGAATGGCTTATACACAGACTTGAAGAGCAGCAAACCCTGAGCAGAGAGGTTGAATGTTTAGCATTTTGCTTGATACTGGAGACTATGCAACAAATGGACCAACATTTTGAGCACTCTTCTGATTTTGTCCATGTGGAGAAACGATGCAGCTTAGTTACTTGAGTCAAACTGGCAGAAAACCTGCCAAGTGAAATCAGACATTTACTGTCTACAGACATTACCTGGCCCAGTGCTGTCAGCGATTTATTTATGGCCGCTGCCTCCACCAGCCTCTGACCTTCAGCTTCTGTCTTGGAGATCCGCTCAGATCCAGCGAGGTCACACAATGTCAATGTACCGCGAGACGTCAGTCCAGACACCTCGTCTGAGCCCTCCACCTCCAGGGCCACCACCAGGTGAGAGCGAGAGCTGGGAAACAGAATAAGTAGAGTAACAGCAAACACACAATGATCAACAAGAAATCATTCATTTTAGATAGATTAGAATATTCAAAACATGTTTATCAGAAGTGGATCTGGAAAAACCTCTGTATATTCATTTTGGTGGAGGCGATCTTTCTGTTCTTTTCCCCCATCTCCATGACATTGAGAATGTCAGCCTCAGTCTGGACTTGGACCTGAGTTAGTCCTGGTACAGACACTGATTTCCCCTGGACTCTGATATCCAGCGAAGCACTTGGACTTTTGGCCAACAGGTCATTTAAAGTGTCGTTATAAATCTCCAGCATGGAAATCTGAAAATGAGTACATTTTAAAATAAATGATTTAGTTGTGGTTATGTTCAGTCCACAGAAATTAATCATGTTTGTTCTACTCCAGGTTGCAAATTAAGACACATAAAAAGCTGCTCAGAGCAAATAGTTCAGCTGTGAAACTGCCAGATTTGTTAGGCAGCATTTCATTCATATTTTTGACAGGGGAGAACAAAATGCTTGTCATAAAAAGCAAGCCAGTCAAACCTAAACTACAGTATTGTTGTATACTGTAGTTTAGGTTTGTACACTGACATATCAAATGACTCTACACTGTATCACATTACAGTGATCAGCTATGTTAAACAGAAGGGTATTGGCTCTTATATAAAATAAAAACAAAAAGTTTTAATTCACTATAATACAAATATGGGCCCTGCAGTAGGGACCCATTGCAACCAAAGTCATTAGAACTTACATTACTGCGATTTAAATATTTTAGTTTTTCCATACTTTATTTGTCCACCTTTATTTTTGATGACAGACTTCATCTTGATTAGCATCTTTCCACCTTAGTGCTCTACTGTCAGGACCATGTGATTACTGTGGTACTCCTGACCAGGTTCATACCAAACATGCTGAACTTCATCTAAGTCAAACAAATGTATCTTGGTCTCATCAGACCAAACAATGTACTGCAAATATTCTTCAGGCTTCTTTTTATGTTCTTTAGAAAGATGTAATCTTGCGTTTTGGGTATTTCTTTGAATGCCATCGGGGTTAGGGCTATAATCCAAAACTGAGAATGTTCTGCTGTTTACAGATCATTTGAAAATCATTTTTCATTCAACTAGGCTGATTGGAAACACAGGTGTGCTCAATTTGGTCTCACTGGTTTTTTTTTAACTTGTGTGTCAGTAATTACAGGTCTATTCACTTTTGTTGATTAAGTTTCTGTTTGGGACCTTTTCAATATAGTTTTCCTAAAGTATAGGTTTCTAATTGTTCATAAGAAGAAATATGTTACTTCAAACTAGTGTAGTTAATGAGAGATGATGCCATTTAGGATAAAGTGACATTTAAGTAATAATGGAGTCCCTGCTGTACTCACTTTTGTTGTATACTGTGTGATGAAGCCTTTTTTTTGCTTTTCAGTTCTCTGTCAGTGTTGTAGGATAGTCGTGGCTTTTTTGTTTGCAAAAACTCTCACAGTTTTGTCAAATTTAAAGTAGTATTTTTAATTTTAGCACCAAAAGTAAGAAACATTTGTTTTAAAAAAAACAATCTGTTGCCTGTGGTTTGGCTTCTTTGACCTGCCTGAGAGTAAAGTTCAGATTTGGGTGAGCTATATAATATGAGTTGGTCAAATTTTACTACAATTGATTTGGATTTCATGGTTTGTACAGTCAGCTGTAATAAAAAATCAACTGTGACTAAATCCACAGTCATACCTTCAGAGTGTAGGACACCTTCTCTTTTTCTGCACAAATGCGTAGCAGCTCCCGTATCGACCTGATAAAAACAAACATGTTAAAGCCAACCTGTAGCACCTCTAACTGTAAGCAGACTGGAGGTAATACAAGACCATAATGACTCAGGTTTTGTGTTACTGTTGTTCATCTCGTCTCTAACAGGAAATTCGACCTATCTGTAAACGGACCCTCTTCTGTCAGTGCTGAACTGTTGCTTCTCTTGATCACGTATTGATGATGAATAGTTGTCAAGTGACATAATGAGACATAGTAAGTCTCAGTTTGCTCGTGACAGCAATTCATGTCCCAGGCAGGCACGTAAGCAACTTCAGAGGGGTGTTAGCCAAGAGAGACTTCAGGATTGACTCCTCTGTAGAACACTTAAATACTCCTGTAATAACGCTAAATCTACACTGAGTTTGAAACTCGAACACTTATTAGCATATACAGTCACTTCCAGAAGTATCTTTGCAAACTTGTGCTGTAAATGTAATTATAAATTGATGTAAGTAGCTATTGTCCCACTCATCAACACTTTATAACCCACACTAAGTGAAGGCAGATCTTTAGAAATTTAGAGAAAATCAAAAAAGGAAATCTTATTTATAGAACAAATATGGGTATTCTCAGCCTTATTTGTGTACTTTGTAGAAACTCTTTTGGCTTCTTCTGTAAGTCTCTACAGCCCTCTCACACCTGGACTTGAGCAGTTTATCCTGTTCTTCCTGGCAGGTCTTCTCAGGCTCCGTCAGAATCAACTGCTATCCGCAGGACTTTCCACAGATACTCTGCGGGTTTAAGTCTGGGCTTTGGTTGGGTCTTTCAATCGTTGACCCATTCTCAGATCGGCAGTGGGAAAGGAAGCAGAAGCAAGGTTGCTGGTCAGGCATACAAGCTGGGCTAAGGAAGCTACCACATCAACCTCCTCTTCCTAGCATCTTCCACACCAACGCCGGATCAATCTTGCATGAAGTGGATGAGCTGGAACCCAACATCACAACAGACAGCTACTTCCAGAACTGCTGCATGGTGACTATCACTGAAACCTGGCTACACCCGCCCATCCCGGACACCATGGTTCAGCTAGTAGGCTGCACTAGCTACCGGCAGGACAGAACCAAAAACTTGGGTAAGAGCAGAGGAGGGGGGCTGTGTATCTACCTGCACTACAGCTGGTACACCGACAGCAGGATTTTGCACAACACTGTTTCCCTGACCTAGAAGCCCTGTCGGTTCTCTGTAGACCCTCCTACTTACCACAAGGGCCAACTGTAGTGACTGCTACTTCTGTTTACATCCGTCCTGATGCTAATGTTAGCATTGCTCTTACCCCTCTGCGGGCTACTGTGAGTGAACAGCAGAGCAAACATCCTAATAAAGTGCACGTCATAGCATTGGACTTTAATCAAGCCTGCTTAAGGACAGCACTTCCCAGTTTCTTCCAACACGTGACCTGTGCAACCAGTGGGAAAACCACTCAGACTCACATGCTTAATAAAAAAACCCTCTTCCTCATCTCGATCAGTCAGATCATCTGCTACTCCTCTTGATCACAGCATACCTGGATGACTACTGAGGTAAAGAAGACTTTTAAAACACTGCAACTCTGCCTTCCGGTCAGGGGACAAGGAACAGTACAGCTCTGCTAGAACTGACCTGAAGACAGGCATCAGGGAGGCAAAGGAGGCCTACAAAAGGAGGGTGGAAGACCATCTCACTGACAACAACCCATGTGGGATGTGGTAGGGGATCCAGCAGTTAGCCAACTACAAAGGCAGCAACAACAACACTGTCAACGGGGACATCTTGCTGGCAGAAGAGCTGAATAACTGCACGGTCTGAGGTTAAAAGAACTGCGACAGCCCTGTTGCCTCTGCCAGCATCTAACAACCACACCCCCACTCTGCAGGAACATGAAGTGAGGCGGGTGCTGAACTCAGTCAACCCAAGAAAGGCTGCTGGACCCGATGGGGTACCAGGCAAGCTACTTCAAGTCTGTGCTAATCAGTTGGCAGGGGTCAATCCCAGACCAATATTTGCTGTTTGACTCCCACCACCCACTGGAACACAAGCTGAGAGTAATAAGAACCCTACAACACCAGACCCAGAACGTGCCTACCAGGGCAGCAGGAAAGGAGGAGGAACAGAAGCACATAAAAACTGCACTTAAAACCTGTGGCTATCCAAGCTGGTCTTCCATCAAATCCTCTACAAAACCCAGAGGAGATAGAGAAGAAAAGACCAAAAAACGAAACAACATAGTCATAGTCATACAGCAAAGTAGCAGTACCTCTCACCAAACTCCACCAAGTCGACGTACCATTGGACTCCCAAAGCCAAATCTGCTTTTTCCCAGCTGAAGGATCTGTTTACAAAGGCACCAGTTCTGAAGCACCCTGATCCTTCCCTTCAGTTTGTGGTGGAGGTAGATGCCTCAGACTCCGGTGTGGGAGCGGTGCTCTCCCAGCGAGATCCCTCCACCCAAAAGCTGCACCCATGTGCTTTCTTCTCCCAACGTCTCACCCTAGCAGAGAGGAATGATGACGTGGGGGAACCGAGAACTGTTGGCCATCCTAGCGCTCCAAGAGTGGAGGAATTGGCTGGAGGGGACTGAACAGCCCTTCCTTATTTGGCTCAGCCCATCGGTTAAACCGAAGACCAGGTCGGTAGTCTCTGTTCCCTTTAGCCGCTTTCATTACACCCTGTCTTACCGACCTGGATCCTGGAACATAAAACTGGATGCCTCATCTCGTATGTCCTCATCCCCCTCAGCCAGTCTCCATCAGACCCCTGCACACTCCCCTCTACTCTACCATCACCAGTGTCTAGACCCTGAGGGGGTCCTGCCCTCATCTCCTACCTCCATCTAGGACCCTGGTCCATGATGTCATTTCTCACCAGAGCCTCACCGCCAACACACTTGCTATAGCATTTTCAAATAATGCAATAAACATTTGTTCTCTGTTGCACATAATCTTTCCTTAATGAACTTCAGCTCTTGCTTATTGTGGGGTCTCTCTGTCTTTAGTAAAGCTAATGATGACATGATTATATACAATGGGTTTTGATGTATTTGGCTGAAAATGAGCACAGAAGGCTACTTTGTACCTCGGCATTAATCCTGTTGCTTCTGTCAGCAGTGAAATCATCAATTAATGCCAAGGTGGCAGTTTCACTGGCAGCCATACATGTCCAAGCCAAAACAAAAGCACCAAAATGTTTGGCAGAACAGGTGGAGTTTTGGATCTGAACCAGAGGTTGATTTTTGATTCCTCAACCCATAGATGCTTGTCCTAGTGTCCAGTGTTTGCATCGTGTGGTAAATCCTCTGAGGCTCTTCTCATGAAGTTCTCTATTGATTGTTGACAGGAAAACATGTTGCATTGTATGTTGGACTCGTTCTTCACTTGCTGTGCCATCATAAAGATCTTTTTCATAGCATGTAAATGATTTTCTGCTCATCCACTAGAACTCCTTGGTCTATTAGCTCCTGTTGCCATTGTTTAGTTTTTCTGTGCTCAAGTTAGAACTAACACATAACACCTGATTTTGGCAAATTGACGTGTATTTTGCTTTTCATTTGTCCCATTATTATCTTCCTTACTTCCATTTCACCTATTTACTCCTCATGTTGACAGGTAACTCCACCTCATTATAAACTCTCATCTATCAGCTCTGAGTCATGGCTCTGAGCTCTGGAGCATAAATGTCAAAATAACACACAGCTGCCAAAAAACATTTAGTAACAAAGTGTCCACCTACTTTTGAGCCAGAAAAATCTGTTAAAAACTCGTCTCGATATTGATGTCAACCTTCACAAATTAAAGCTGAGGCATGGTGTTTTAACATGGTCTCTTCTAACTGATTTTATTTGAATGTGCCGAAGCAAAATAAAATGTGCAACTGTTCAAATACTAAAAGTCTGTAAAAGCATTTTGAAAAACCCTACATATAATTATTTTACTGCAAAGCATCCCTGTACATTTTTAAAAACGCAAAACTGACCTGATGTTAACTCCAGGGTTTTCCTTGCTGCCCATCATGGTGTATGTCTTGCCTGAGCCGGTTTGTCCATAGGCCAGGATACAGACATTATATCCATCCACACAGGACGTTATCACTGGTAGAGTCCCAGTAAACACATCCTCCTGCAGAGAGGGCAAAGAAAAAGGAAAGAAGTCAAAATGATTTATAAAAAGCTGACACACAATGAGAAGAAGAGGACACATATACAGACAGGTGACAAAATGAAGAAACAATCTTAATAAATGAGCGGAGAAACACAACAAAAGTAGATTCTTCCACTCAGATGCACTGCATGGTATAGTAAAGCTAGCAACATCCAAGTATGCTCTGTGACATGTAGATAAATAAATAAATGCTGAGCAGGCACAGTTGATTCTAATTATGCATCAAGATGGTAACAGGAAAAGTGACTTTAAAAGAGAGTTCATTAGTGGGGAATTAATGGGAGGAGCTTCAGTCACACAGTTTACATGTTAAAGTTCAGCGGTGCAGAAACTAAGGGCTGTAAATTACATAGTTGTGGAGTAAAGTGCTATGGTTCTGTTAATCATCCTTTACCATAGTCCTCCCACAGTCCACAAACACGTTGAGGTTAATTGGTGATTCGAAATTGTCCGTAGGTGTGAATGTGAGTGTGCTTGGTTGTCTGTCTCTAAGTGTAGCCCTGTGATAGACTGGTGACCTGTCCAGTGTGTCCCCTGCCTTCGCTCTGAGTCAGCTGGGATAGACTCCAGCCCCTCGCAACCCTCGTGAGGATTAGGCAGTGTATAGATAATGGATGGATGTAAGCTTTCTGGTAATTAACTCAGACACCTTAATACAACCTAACAAAGTCAAATACCCCTGTGTCCAGTGTTTGTGCCAAGCTAAACAACACCTCTAAACAATCTCTAAAATCCAGAATGTCCAAAACCCCTCACAGTCATTGCATAGCAGTAAATGCAAAGTGTTTCGTTGTTATAAAATAAACAAAACTAATTTCTCCCCACACATAAACCAAACTTATCTCTCTGAGGTTCTCTCTGTTTAAGAACAGCCTCAGAGAAATGAGTTTGGTTTACGTGTGAGGAGAAATTAGTTTTGCTAGCAAAGAAATACAGGAAGGGAGGAAGCCGGAGAACCCGGCGAGAACCATGCTCCCCAGGGAGAACATGCACACTAAACGCAGAAAGAGCCAAGGCATCCTAACCGGGAAGCGAACCAGGGATCTTCTAGCTGCGAGGCAACAGTGCTCACCCCAGAGCCACAGTGCAGCCCCAGGATAGTGTTATAGTGCCACATAACTCGGCAGAGGATCACCAATATTATTTTATTTCATCCTGAGGAAAAAGAAATCAAATTGTTGAGAGTTTTTACCTAAAACTACCAATGTCAACCTCATGTCAAAGAAAAGCTCCTCCATGATTCATCACCAAAGGCAAAAGGACTCAGCATGAGGAGAATGACATATTTCAGCTGAAAGTTTGAAATAAGGTTCTCATTTTCTTTAAACATTTCTTATTTTTATATGTCATACAGGATTTTGCTTGATTACGTGTTGTTGAATAATTTAATAAACAGTGTATATATAATTGTAGACCTCATCTTTTTGGGAAGTTTGGCAGGAAACCTCTCATTTTCACATGGTATTGCTTAAAAACCAAAATATTTCACATTTCTCAAACCTAACATATTTGATGTCTTTGCTCTACAACCTCTGGCATATAAACAGAGGCGTTTAAAAAAAGTTAGACTGCACAACATGAGTTTGTGTGTTCAGAAGAATTGAAGCAATCAAAGTGAGCCATAATGGGCGCCCTGGCAGCTCAACTGGATAAGATGGTGACCCACAAACAAAGGGCTATCGTCCCTGACGCAGTGGTCGTGGGATCGATTCCTGACCACAGCCATTAGCTGCAGGTCTTTCCCCATTCTTCTCCCCCTTTTCCTGTCTCTCTCCAGTGCTCTGATAAATAAAAGCAAACGGCAAAAAGAAAATTAAAATAAATAAATTTTTAAAAAGTGAGCCATTACCTGTGTACTGCTAGGGGGGTAGACTTTGTCAAACTGGAACTTCTTTCTGTTTCCCTTCTGGATGACCACCACCTCCTGGTCATTGGTTTTCTCCAGACAGCTGTTGGCCAAGCTCTTCCTGCAGCGGCAGAACACTCGTATGTTTCCCTGCAGCTCCAATACCTTGTTGTATAGGCTCTTCCTCTCCACCGCTTCCTTCCTGTAAAGGGATCGTAGCTCCTCCACCTCCTTTGTTGCTTCCTGCTCTACTTGGGCCAATTTCCCAATTGTGTCCTTAAACTGCTCCAGCTGATTCTTCACGTCAGCCAGAGCTTGGTGAACAGTTGATCGAAGCTGCTTGTTTGAGATGTTGAGTTCGCGAGTCAGCCGGCTCACCTGGCGGAGTTGACTGGGGTCCACCGCAGGCTTTGTGATGGTTTTGGCCGGTGGGACAGCTGGAGCTCGGCGGTTCAGGAGGGATCGAATTTTCTCTCGTGCCTCCTGCTGATCAGCTTCGAGCTCAGCCAGCTTCTGGTTTAAGTGCTGGACAATGTCAGTCAGGTAGCGGACCTCCCTGGCCAGGTAACTGTTCCTCTGGAACAGATTGTCCACCTCCTTCTCTTTGGTCTGGAGCTTGTGCCTCAGCTCTTCGATGACCCGATCCCTTTCCAGGAGGGCTCTGTTGGGATAAAACAAAATGTATGGTGATCAATTAAATAAAGCCATTCTGGCTTTAAGATCATGCTGCTTTCACACATACAGCGCATGATGGGTGATAAGTGTTGCAATGCAACATAAAGAATAAGTACAAATGAATAATACCAAACACCTAACAAAGAGTTAAAGGCAAATTTGTTATTCTAGACCCCTCAATCATTGCCTTGAGGGACTTTTTCATTGATACTACGGTTCAGGAGTTGAGATTATTGACTGGTTGTTTCCACAGCTAGAAAAACATTGGGCTTTGTAAGTGGGAGCAGGAATCAACTTTGTGTAACAGAGAAAGAAAACTAGCTTCAAAATTAGCACCAATTGTGGATGAAAATGATTTAGCTGTACATGTTATTGCATGTCAACTCATAGAAATAACAAATACTAAATTTACATTTACATAACTGCCTCCACCATATACTACCATGGATTCCATGTTGAATGAAAATTATGTAGACTGGCTGGATATAGCATTCATAATTAACCAGTTAGGGTGAAATGAACAGTACACTAAGTCAGCTCCCGATACCAGTTTTCACAGAATGTGTTTGCAAGTTTGGCTCTCATAAATACACTGGGTTTACCACATAGGATAGAGCCAGAAAAATGTGTGTGAATAAGGTCATGCAAACTTTAGCTGGATTCTGTCATGGTGACAGCATGAGGAATGAAACAGTAGCAACAGTAACCTACAACTGCAAATATAGACATTTGTATATAAATACAGTTCTATACATATAATAAAATATACACATGTATATCTGCTCATAAGGAATCCAAAGGCAACTTTGGGTTCTCTGTTCTTATTTTAAAATTTGTAAAGTCTTCACCTTGACACGTATATCCTTAAGGATAGTACAAGTATCTGGAACTCCCAACTAGTCAGTCAGAACTGATGAAGCCTCTTGGATGA